GGGCGACAGAGTGAGACTCCAACTAAAAAAAAAAAAAAAAATGGTACATATACACAATGGAATATTATGCAGTTATAAAGAAGGACAACATATGAACTTCACAGCAACTTGAATGAATTTAGAACCTATCATAATCAGTGATCTATCACAGAAACAAAGAACAGTGTACCATATGTTCTCACCAATAAGTGGACCTTGAACAATTATAATACTACAAGAAAGGGATTGGCAGTAGTGAGAAACTGCCAGGGGGGAGGGGGTGGAATTGGCAGTTGAGGGAAACTGCTAGGGGAGGGAGGGGCACACTTCATCAACAAGTAGTAAGTACCTGCATAAAGAACATTTGTATACCTTACCTTGAATTGTACCCCACATCTTTAAAATAATAAATAAATAAATGTAGAAGGAATGAAGAATACCATTAGAAGCCCACAGTAATCATTGCTGCAGGCAAAAATACACGAATGGGATGCTCAATTCACGGGTGAACGTTTAAGCAAAAACAGGATATTTGCATAGTCTCAAATGTGTCCCCCAAATATTTAATAATTACAAAGGGAATAACAGTAACTTTTCATAGGAGAATCTTGTCTGACACTACCTTAACTGAGTAACTAGGGTGAACATCCCCAGTAATAAGTCATGTTGATGTCACACACTCCCTGTGAAGCTGCCTAGAGATGGGTGCCTCATCTCTGTGTCAGCCTTCCCAGTAATTCATAGCTTCTACTTGCTTAATCAAAGGAAAATCAGACAAACTAAAGTTGTGGGATGTTGTATGAAATATCTGACTAGGACTTCAAAAGTGTCAACATCATGAAAGACAAAGAAAGACAGAGGAATTGTCATGGATTGGAGAAGCTTATGGAGACCTAATAAATCAGAGCCACGTGGCATCCTGGATTAGATCCTAGAACAGAAAAAGGGAATTGATGGAAAACACATGAAATCTGAATAAATTCTGCATTTTAGTGAATATTATTATGCCAATTATAATTTCTTAGTTTCAATAGTTATAGAAATTATATAATTTCTCAGTTTCTAGCAATATAATTATACTGTGTCAGATGTTGACATGAGGGAAAACTGGGAGAGGACATATGGGAACTCTCCATAGTATTTTTGCAACTCTTCTCTAAGTCAAAAATTACCTCAAAATAAAGTCTTAAAAATTCTAAAACAAAACAAAAAATTCTCATAGACTTGTACATTAAAAAGAGTGAATTTTGGCAGGTGTGATGGCTCATACCTGTAATCCCAGCATTTTAGGAGGCATAGACCAGAGAATTGCCTGAGCTCAGAGGTTCGGTACCAGCCTTGGCAACTTGGTGAGACCTTGTCTCTACAATAAATCAAAAACATAGCCAGGCTTGGTGGTGTGCGCTTGTAGTCTCAACTACTTGGAAGGCTGAGGCAGAAGGATTACCTGAGCATAGGAGATCAAGGCTGCAGTGGACATGAGCATGCCATTGCACTCCAGCCTGGGCTGCAGAGTGAGGCCCTAACTCAAAAACAAGAAAAAAGAGTGGATTTTACCATATGCATATTATACCTCTTGACTTAAGAGATAATCTTTTCCTTACTATATTCTTTGAAATATATTCTTTTGTTGTATTAAATATATATAAATGCGTTTTAATATGTCTAAATAATATGTTTTAAAATATTTACTATGTGTAAATAGTATAAATAGTTTTTGTTTGTTTGCTTTTCTGAGTTGGAATCTCACTCTGTTGCCCAGGCTGGAATGGCACACTCATGGCTACTGCAGCCTCAAATTTCTGGGCTCAGGTGATTTTCCCATCTTGGCCTCCCAAGTAGCTGGAACTAGAGGTGTATTCCACCACACCTGGCAAGCTTTTCTGATATTTTGTAGGGATGAGATCTTGCTATGCTGCCCAGGCTAATCTTGAACTCCTGGGCTCACATGATCTTCCAGTCTCGGCTTCTCAAAGTACTGGGATTACAGGTGTGAGCCACTGTGCCTGGCCTAGTAGTTGAAATAATTGATTAAATTTGGTAAATTGGTCATTCATTAAATTGACTTTCAGGAAATCAGTTGTCATTTAAGAGAGAAACAGCTCTTGGCCCTCCTGTAATTCTGAGCACCTTATTTATTTATATATTTATTTATTTTTGAGTTGGAGTTTCAGTCTGTCACCCAGGCTGGAGTGCAGTGGCATGCTCACAGTCACCGCAGCCTCAACCTGCTGGGCTCAGATCCTTCCACCTCAGACTTCCAAGTAGCTAGAACCACAAGCAGTAGTCACCACACTCAACTATTTATTTATTCATTGTAGAGACAAGGCCCCGCCAAGTTGCTCAGGTTAGTCTTGAACCCCAGGGCTCAGGCAATCCTCTCACCTCCTCCTCCCATAGTTCTGGGATTGTAGGTATGAGCCACTGTCCCGGCGTGAGCTCCTCTTTTAGTTGAGAGGACACTAGGGAAGAGAGAGGCTCCAAAAATGGCAGGAAATGTCTCTGAATGAAAAAGGGAACCAACTATAATTTTCTGGAAAGTGTTGAATGAGGCGGGGATGAGGGTCAGAGAAGGAAGGAAGAAATGTGGGCCTTCCCATTTAGGCCTGACAGGACTGCTAGACATGAACTAACTCTATCTAGCAATTGAGGACAGTTTAGTGAGGCAAGGCCACTCAATAAGGAGAGTAAGGAGACATTTCCTGTGGGCTGGAGATAAGCCAATGAAGAGGATTTGGGTGGATAATTGAGAGAAGAGGGCAGTTTTAAGAGAAAAAGATCAAGTGTTCACGACTCCCTCATGAACATTCCTCCCTTTCTGTTAAAGACAAAATGCCCTCTACCCTCTGACACCCAGGCCTCACCGTGCACTATCCCCCAAGGTGGTCCTGGCCTATGCCTGCCTTGGTCACCCCAACCTTACTATACCATCTGTGGAAAGGAAGGTCAAAGTCCTCTCTGAGCACTGAAACACTGTGTGAAGAACAGTTTTCATCTAGGCTGCACATCAGAATGTGATGTCACTCATGTTGACAAGCTTGATCTCCTGCTACTGCTCAATGCTGGATTCTGGCTCAAAGTCAAGAGCCCCTTCTTCCCTGTGTGACATCCCTCTTCTGCTTGTCACTCCCTTGAGTGACAGAGAGCAATGGAGCAAGTTGCTCCTCCTAGGAAGAAGGAAGACCCAGGTGTCCTGACTTCCCTCAGCGGTAGCACATATAAACCCATAGTCACTGTGGAACCTGCCTTCCACCTGTGTGAATTCTCTTGCGATGAAAAGAAGAGAATGTCCTACCATGTCCCTCCTCCTGCTACCTCTGCTTCTCCTGAGGTGTTCAGAACTGAGTGAGGGAGTTAATTTTGGAGAGAAGGATGCAAGAATTCTCAGGGCCTGGAAAGATGGGATCGAGATCCTTGGAGAAGGAACCTCCTGGGACTCAGACAGGGCCAGTCCTGAGCGAAGGTACGGAATAGGTGAGTGAACCTGGGGAAGTCCTGGAATCTGCTTCCCACTCCCTGCCTCAAGGAAGCACCTTTCTCACATCCTCTCTTAAGGAAATGTTCTGCTTTTGACTATTTACATTTTATTTAAGTTTTTAAATTTTAACTCTCCTCGAGAAATGAAAGATTTGAACCTCATTAGAGGAATTTTGGGAATCAGCAGCAGAAAGGGAGGAACTGTTTTAAACAAAGTCTCCAAAATCCAAAATGTAAGCCATGTAGGCCGCATTTATTCCTAAGAATGAATGCGCCCACTGCTGAAACCTGGTGGCGGGGGTGAGAGGATGGAGGTGAAGGAGTCATCTCTTCTTTCTACTTATACACAATCCAGTGTTGCTGTCAGCAGAACTGAATCATCCCCATATCCCTTATGACTCCACCCCAATCCTGCCCCCAAACCACCTTAAATCTTCTCTGTCTCCAGTTCTGCCACTTCAGCCCCAGATCTGGCCCAGGAACTGTTTCATAATCATATACCAAGCATGACCTGAGTTTAATCTCTAGTATGAGTCACATTCTGCCTCATTGGTTTACCAGAACCCCAGGCACAACTGGATGAGAGGAGACACATGTGGACATGGAGTCAGAATACTCAACTGCTGAAATACCAGCTCAGAGGGGAGTGAGGTTGGGAAAGAGTCAGATTTACTGTCCCACAGAAAGAACAGATCCAGAAAGGACAGAATCAAAGACCAGACAAGCAGGCCTGCACAGGACATGGCTCAACTGGAGTCATGCATATTGTAGTGCATGAGGAATCCTTGAGGGATTTTTTTAAAAATCAGAATTAAATCTAAAAAATCAGGTGATCCTTGACTCAAATCTAACCACATTTCCCAGGGATATGTGTTATTTAAATGTAAGGATAGTTATTAAAAATATCAAGCAGAGGCCAAGTACTGCAGTTCATGCCTATAATCTGAGCACTTTGAGAGGCGGAGGCAGGAGAATCACTTGAGTTCAGGAGTTTGAGACCAGCCTGGGAAATATAGGGAGGCCCTGTCTCTACAAAAAATTTTTTTAAAAAATTTAATACTAACCAGAGCAGATGAAGAGAGGCTATAAACAATCCACATTAAATGAGATTATTTTTAAATAGGAGCAAGTGAAAATGTTTCCACTAAGGACCCAGAGACCAACTCTGAAGACTCCAGAACAAGAGAAAATGATACCACTGCAGATTCAAGGACCACTAAGGACAATCCCACTGCTGACCCAGAGACCAATGAAGTCGACCTCACTGCAGAACCAGGGTCCACTGAGAATGACATCACTGCAGAACCAAGGAACACTGAAGACAATGGCATTGCAGACCCAAAGGCCACTGAGGATGATGGCACTGAAGAACCAGGGACCACTGAGGATGACAGCACTGCAGACCTAGGGACCACCGAGGACGACACCATTACAGAACCAGGGGCCACTGAGGACAACAGCACTGCAGACCCAGGGAACACTGATGATGACGGCACTGCAGACCCAGGGACCACTGAGAATGACGACACTGCAAACTCAGGGGCCACTGAGGACAATGCACTGCAGACCCAGGGGCCACTGAGGATGACAGCACTACAGGCTCGGGGACTACAGAGGATGATGTCACTGCAACCCTAGAGACCACTGAGGATTATGTCAGTGCAGACTCTGGGACCACTGAGGATAACATCACTGCAGACTCAGAGGCCACAGAGGAAAATGTCACTGTAGACCCAAGGATCACTGAGGATTATATCACTGCAGTCCCTGGAACCACTGAGGACAACGTCACTGCAGACCCAGAACCACTGGAACCACTGAAGACTCAGGGACTCCTGAGGATGACATCACTGCAGCCCCAGGGACCAATGATTATGACATCACTGCAGAACCAGGGACCACTGACGATTATGTCACTGCAGACACAGTGGCAGCAGATTTTACCACTAAAAATGATGACAGTCATCCTGAGGAAACAGCTTCAGTCACAGCAGTGAAACCTACTGGGTTCCTATCACCTCTGGGAATTACCCTCATATCCTTGGCTGCAGCTGTGGTCACTGTTGTACTCTTTATTGGACTGGGCTTCATTGTGGTGAGTATTTGGCCCAGGAATGTGCAGGGCATCATGGGAATGAGGACCTCTGAGGGTAAGAAGGTGAGCATGGTGAGATGAGGTACAATCACACAAGAAATTGTCAGGTGTGAGGAAACCTCCATAGAGAGTGCTCTGCAAAGACACAGGGGAGACAGAGGTGGAAAAAAAGGAAAGGAGCAACTGGCATAAAAGTTAAAGGATTGGGGGAGAGGAAGCTGTAAGAGACAAAGAGAGGAGGGGAAGAGGGAGGGAAGAGAGGACAGAGGGTGACTAGGAAGAAAGAAAGAGAAACGAAGACTGGGCACAGTGACTCATGCCTATAATTTCAACACTTTAAGAGGCCAAGGTGGGAGGATTGCTGGAGCCCAGACTTCGAGACTCCAGTGAGCTGTGATTACACCACTGAACTCTAGCCTGGGTGGCATAGCAAGACCCTGTTCTTAGTGGTCCCTGGGTCTGCAGTGACACTGTCCTCAGAGAAAAAAACATAAAAATACAAATATGGCCGGGCTCGGTGACTCAGCCTGTAATCCCAGAGCTTTGGGAGGCCAAGGTGAGTGGATTGCTTGAGCCCGCGGGTTCGAGACCCACCTGGGCAACTTGGCAAGACCTCATCTCTACAATAAATCAAAAATTAGCCGGGCATGGTAGCACACGCCTGTAGTTCCAGCTACTTAGAAGGCTGAGGTGGAAGGATCACCGGAGCCCAACAGGTCAAGCCTGCGGTGGCGGGAAGCGACCACTGCACTCCAGTCTGGGCAACAGAGTGAGACTCCAACTCAAAAAAGAAAGAAAGAAAGAAAGAAAAAAGACCACTAAGAAGAAAAATTAGCCGGGCGTGGTAGCGCATGCTTGTAGTTCCAGCTACTTGGAAGGCTGAGGCAGAAGGATCCCCGGAGCCCAGCAGGTC